GGGCTGTGTGACAGCATGGGCTGTGTGACAGCATGGGCTGTGTGACAGCATGGGCTGTGTGACAGCATGGGCTCTGACTGTGCTGGCTACACCCACCAGCAGCCCCCAGAGCTTCACACACAGGATTTAATGCTTTTCTGCAGCTCCCACAGTGCATCCTCTGGTGCCCCGTGCTTGGCAGCAGCCTGCTGCCCACAGGTGCTGTAACGCAGCTCGAGGAGCGCATCCTCTGCAACGTACCAGGATGCTATGATGGAGCTGAGGGAATCCAGCACTTCAGAAGCTGTCAGGCGCTGCTGCGGATCCAAGACGAGCAGTTTTCGGATCAAGCACACAGTGTTCTCTGAGACCCGACCATCCCTGGGGAAACAACGTGCGGTGAGGCCGGGTCTGAGGCGGGCAGCGCCAGCAGCAGGAGGCGTGGGGCAGAGCTATGAGAGCTCTGAGCCAAGAGAGGCAGGATCAACCCGGGGCTGAATCCCCAGCCCTGCAGCACGAAGCCTTCCTCGCTCTTACAGCACGTCCCGGCTCTGCTGCTGCTCCCAACCTGCGGCCTCTGCGCTCGCACCAGCTGTGAGCCTGGGGGGCTGGGGCTGAGCCCACCGGTGGGGTAGGGGGCTGAAGGTGGTACTCACTCAGGGATGGTGTACTCGGCAGCCTTGATTTTGCGGAAGAGCTCCTGAGGTATGCTGTCATAGAAGGGGAACTGGCCATAGAGCATGGTGAAGAGCACGACGCCCAGCGCCCACATGTCGCTGGGTTTGCCGCGGTACGGCCGACCTGCAGGGGGGGAGAGGAGGTGGAAGCACCAGGGTTGGTTACTCTGCAGCACGGGAGGATCACATCCTGGGCTGCTCCACCTTTGGAGGCGTTGCACCCTCATGCAGCAGCACCTGGCACCTCTGGAAGGTGCCAACAGACAGAGCACAGCTGCCAACCCTTCCTCTCCCAGGAGGGCTTTCCACACACCAACAGCTCTGATGCCATCACAGATGAGAACTCAGGCACCTTTTGCTGCACTGACACCCGGCAGCACTCCTGCAGGGAAGCTGCCCACCCGGCAGCCACGCAGCGCTGCTCAAACTGAGCACACAGCACATCAGCCAACAGAAGCAAGCGTGAGGCTCAGAGCTTGAGCTCCAGTGCTGCACCGCAGCATAGGATGGAGGGAACGGCTTCCTCTGAGTCACGCAGTGAGTCACTGCTGCAGCATTTGTTATTTGTACTAATTATTCTCCGCTTTATACGCTCAAAAAAAGGCACCTCTCCCTCCTCCCCCAGCTTTTCCTGCGGTGACATTTCGGCAGCCATAAAACACAAGCCATCTCTTCGCAGAAGACAGCTTCTCCCAGCAACTAAAACAATGATTAATTCTCCAGGCCTTTCAGCTTCCCCTTGCCCAGGAGTATCAGCAACACAGACAGAGGGATGCTCAGATTCTGCAGATGGTGAAGCCTGAGATGTCCCCAAGTAACTTCTGCCTCCAGAGGGAATTTGCAGACTGAGCCACTTTGGGGCAGTTTTGAGGGACACAGGAGCCCCGCAGCAATTGCACAGAGGCCATTCAAAGCACCAGCACAAGCCATCAGATGCAGCCTGGCTGCTGACAGCAGGCCAGCAGGGCTGCGTGGTACCCCAGGTTGGCAGGAAGGAGCAGCTCTGTGCACCCTTCAGACACCCTTCAGCTGAGCAGCAACTGCTCCAAACTCCTGCAAAGCAGTTGGCTTGCATCACCCATCTGGTTCCAGGGGCCTCAGGATATCCTGAAGAACAGGAAAGGTCTGCAAAAAGCATGAATTCCATCTCCCTGTCAGCCTCTGCCTCCCTTCCTGGCCTAGGAGGAGAAGGGAAGCAGCCTCAGACCTGCCTGGCAGATGGTGATGGAAGAGCTCAGTTGCGTTGGCTTCTGCTGCCTGTAAACCTGAGTGTGAATTTACTGGGGTGGCCTACTGGGCCTTGCACACTGAGCAGAAAAGACCAGCTCCCTCTGAGGGTATCTCCATATAGGACTGCTTGGGAGACTGCAGACTGGTAAGGGATGACTCAAATCTTCTGCAGAGGTGCTCTCAGTGCTCAAGAGAAAGAATGGCAGGGATTCTGTGAGGGCAGCTGTCCTGCACTGCAGACTGGCACAGGAATGCTGGCTGCTGGTGTTCAGGTTTTAGGCAGTTTCCCATCCTAACACGTGAGGCTCTACAGACAGCTCCAAACAAAAGCAATTCTATCTGCAGTCAGTGGGAAGACTCCACACTGTGAGCTAATGCTTAGTAACCAGAGTCTATGTGGAGAGAAACTTCTAACATGTGGCCCCAGCTGTAAATGCAGCCACCAACACCACAGGTCAGCTCAGCTGGATGAGAGCAAACCCAGAAGCCCAGTGTCTGCTTGAGCCACTGCTCAGCTACAGGCAGCACACAGCCAGCAGGGCAAATCTTACAGCCTACAGAACCTGCTGCAGCAGCTGAACAGGAACCCCACCTGCTGCTGGAAGTTCCAGGCACTGAAAACAGTTAAATGCCATCAGGGAAAGCTGCTTTCCCTCTCCTGAGGAGCAGACAAGCTGCAGGCCAAGGACAACGCTGCCCTGATCATTTTATTTTTAAGCAACTCCTCGCAGTCAGCCCAGCAGCTGCCCACAGGGTCAGCAGATCCCTGCAGGGAACACGGAGCTGCTGCAGCACCTGCAGCTCAGGGATCAGCTGCCCTCACAGCAGGGTGAGGAGCCACAGAGAGCGGAAGATGCGTTAAAGCAGGGCTGGGAAAGCGGCAGCACGGAGGACAGGACGCCTACCGCTGAGCACATCGGGGCTGATGTAGGCAGGGCTCCCCCGCTGGTCCTTCAGAAGGTCATCCTCACTCACCAGGTGCTTCCCCAGGCAGAAGTTGGTTATGGTTATCCGATGAGTCCTGGGAAGAAGCAGAGGGATGGGTGAACAAGGAGCACGTGTGATGGGCCCCAGGAAGCCTGCTACACTGTGAGCATGGGGTTGGCAGCAGCAGGTAATATGATTTTCAAGGGAAGGTGAACTCGTTCTGGAATGACCACCACCTTTCAACTTCCATGTCACTCGGTTTGGCTCTCAATGCACAACTCACTGGACTGAGCAGAAAAGCTGCCTTCTTGAAAAAGACACCGACTTCTGTGTTCTTGAGCAATATCACACCATGGGAATCGACAAGCATGAATGAAGTCAGTCAAAATACCCAAGAAGCACTCCCAACAAATCTAACAGACAAGTGAAACAAAACCAAGTGTGGGCTGCCAACAGAGAGCTGATTATTAAGGCGGACAGACTTGTTTCAGGAGTGCAAGAAGTCAGAAGAGCTCCCTGGCTGAACAGCAACGTGGCATTTGGGAAAGGCTGACTTAGAAGACTGACTGTTCTGAAGGACACTGAAGTGTTCAGGGCTGCTTCCTTTCTTTCAGTCCCTCAGATGTGACCTTCTCCCACCCTTCCAGGCCGCTCACTGCTTTGCAGCCTGCAGCTCTTCCTCACCACAGCTGACGTGCAGCTCTGCCTGCAGGTATCTGCACTGCATGCTCTGCCTGCAGCAGGAGGGCAGCTCTGCAGGGATCCTTTATGAAGCACCCTTCAGCTGCCTGCTCCTAGCAAGGAGGCATCAAACAAGCAAGCAGAAGAGATTTTTCTTGAAGTAGCTATATAAAAAAAAATCTCAGTGTGGAGGCAACCCCACAAACCATCACCTGCTGTGCGTGGGGTGGGGAGAGCAACAAGTTCAACCTCGGTAGGCAAAACCTGCTTGCTTTCAAACAGTATTAGGGAGGAGAAAAAGAGCAAAGCAAGCTGCAAACACAGAGGATCCACTTGCTTCCTACAGACTGGGAGCCTGAGGACCCAAAGCCTTCCAAGCTTTTATTCATTCCACAGTTAAAAAAAAAAAAAAAAGACAGTGCGAAAAGAGGGATTCCACTCATTCCTAAGGCGAGTGCAAAATATTTAGCCAGTAATGTAATGCTGAAGAATACAGCAACGTATCTGAACTGGAACCAGCCTGCCAGCTGAGCAACTGCACAAATAAGAGACACAAAGCTGCAAGGAGCAGCCAGCAGTGCAGCCCAGCCCGGCCGCATCCCGCTGGCACTGCGGCTGTGTCCCATGGGTGCATCGCTGTGCTGTGCTGAGCCCTGCACCAAGCAGCTGATGGGAACAAGGAAGCCACTTCAAGAGCACGTCCAGACAGAAGAACTTTGTTTAGATAAGTAAATATTTTGCTGCTAGCAAAAACACAGCAGCAGAGCAGCCAGAGGTGGAACGGCGCTGTGATTACAGTGCAGACTGCAGCGCTGGGAATTCCTGCAGCAGGACGGGAAGTGAATGCCACCAACAGAACCATCTCACATGTTTCAGTTCCTTCTCTTTTGTAAGAACCATTTCCCTTACAGGTTTCTGGATTACTATCAAACCTGGCTTTCAGAAGCCAGAATCCAACAGGAAATGCTGACAAGAGGTCACCAAGTGTTACACAGACAGAACTGCCTGCATCAGGCTCGATTCACTGCTGGAGATCAGCTTATCTAACTCTGAACTGGATCTGCATTTTCCAGCAGCTCCTTTCCAAGCCCCTCAGCCTTCTCACAGAGCACTCTCATTCTGCAATGCCTCCAGCTCTGTTCCTACAAAACATCTGCTTCAGGGTAGGAACCACAAAGGGGCTCTCCAGCACACTTACCTTTTGTTTAGCACCATGTTTCCTAGTTTCAAGTCTCTGTGCACAATATTTTTCTGAAAAATACATAATTGTGTAACATGAGCAAAGGCATTTTGGTCTGAATTTGATGCTTACATAAAAGCACTCAGCATCTTTTTTTTTTTTTAATTTGAAATGAGGCTGTCTTCTTTCTCAGAGTACAAAAACACAGGTGGGGAACACTCACCTTCTCAGACAATTTCTTCTAGATGTAAAGGAAGGAAGGCAGAGCTGGCTCTAATATACAGCAGAACATTGAGTGGCAGCTATGTTAAAATAACCACAACACCTGAAGTCATCCCAGTATAAAAGCATGACACCAAGAAGCTTGGAACACCCAGGCTTAAAGATGGAAGCTCCTTTCCATAGGGTCAAACAGCAGCAGAATCTATTCTTGCTGCAGGAACTCACAGTAGATAGATGGTAAATTCAACCTGAGCTTTTAGCTCAGCAGAAGCAATTCTTACAGTCAGATGCATCGTGCTTCCAAGGGAAACAGCCTGAAGTGCCTCCTGCAGCCGATCAGCCTCTGCTCTCCTCCTCGACCACCACCTTTCTGGGATCACAGCTCACCTGAGCTGCCCTGAGCCCAGCTGGCCCTTCTCCATGCTACATCATCACTGGAAACCAAAGGAGAGGGGAAGCTCCCATGGCCTGGGGCCCGAGGGCTGACCCAGAACGCAGCCACTGACACACAGCTCCATCCTTTCCAACCTTCCCACCGCCCACAAGAGGAAGTTTTAAGATACCTAACATGGGAAAACCAAGTCTCCCAGCCCTGAAAGGGAAAGCTCTCACCTTATGTAATGCTTCCACCACTCGTACCACATCATAAAATATCACCACCGTCTCTCGCTCGCTGAGCCTCTTCTCCTTAATGACGTAGTGCTGCAGGTTGATCAGATCTGCTGTTTTGTCACTGAAATCATGAGCACAGAGGCAGTCTAACACGAGGCAAATGCGCTTCTTCATTTTTCTGACCATTCTGTTGGCTTCCAGATCTTCTATAATTTCGCAAGCTCGGTCCTGCAGGGAAGCAAACACATGAGCAATGGTTCAGGCAGCTATCAGACAGAGCACCAGAAAATAAATACAGGCTGATCCCAGAATAAGTGGAAGCAATTACAGGGCTTGATCTTGGTCCCAAGTGGGGATTTCAGAGAGATGATGCATGATCTCTGCTTGGAGAAGCCAGAGAAAGTCTGTGCTCTTTGCTCACATGTGTACAGCAGTACTGACAGCGAGACATGCAGCTTCAGGTAAAACCTAAACAAAGCCCGTGGCAGCTCAGACTGAACACTCCAGATCATTAATAAGCAGAAAAATTAGCAGATCCTTCGTAACGCTAAGCAGGACACAACCAAATTGGACGTTTCCTTTATTTAAGATACAGCACAGACAGCCTGGAGTGAAAAGTCTGTTGGCAAAACGTAACCAGCATGCAAAGCAACACCAGCATCCCAGTGGTAACTCCAATCCACGAGCAGCCCTGAAGGTGGTAGCAGCACGTTCACTCGCTGGGGATGCTGATCAGCACATCCAGTGGTTCATTTTAACACACCAAAACAGCTCCTTGGCACCTCACTCCTTCTTACCAGCCATCATAAAGCAGTAGAGAGACCAGAAAACACAACCTCCGTTCTGAAGGGCGCTCTGTGAGCACGAGTTAATTTGCAGGGAGTTAATAAAGCAGGGAGGCAGCCCATAAATGTCATCACACCAGGCTGACAGGCTCCAGGTGCACTATGATAGCAGTCACTGTCAAACCATGAGTATCAGAGGGCGTGCTGAGCACCTCCACTCGTCCTCACACTTCCCAAATCCCAACCCTGTTATGTCACACTTCACACCCCAAAGGCCCTGCCACAAACGTGCTTGTTTGAAGCAGTGCTGAGGAACCTGGGTGTGCTGGGAACTCTCTGTGCACCAGAAGAGGGTCAGCACCAACTGCACAACACACAAAAGCAGCTCGAGGCAGCAGCAATGGCCAGCACTGCCCTGAGCTGCACAGTGACCAGCTGTACCTGGAAGAGCCCATGGTGATGAACCACTCCTTCCTGATTGTGGAGCAGGGAAAGGAGAGAATACTCCGTGTGCAGCAGCATCTTGCCCTGTCGCTCTTCCTGTGTTTCTATTCCTTTATCCCCCCTTTCTTCTAAGGTGAGAATCTTCAGGGAAAAGGAAAAAAAAAGACTTTTACAACTCCCAGCAGAAAAATAAAAAAGAAACGCCCCCAAAGCTCTCTCACATTTTAAGTAACCACGTGGATACTTAACACTTGGGTGTAATTACTCTGGTATCTGTGCACTTGAGACAAGCCTGTCTGAGTTAAGAGCTGCACAGAACGCATAGCATGAGCCTGAATAACACAGAAGAGGCTCATGTGGTTTCTGCCAATACCCCAAGAGGCCCTTCCTGCTTTGGTGCAGCACAGGAGACCATTGGGAGAGCACTGCAGAGCCCCAGCTCAGAGCCAAACCCGAGCCCAGAGCGATGCCTGCAGAGCTGCCCTGCTGAGGGTTCAGCAGCCAATTCCCTCTGCTCAGCCTGCACCACATTGCACCAAGCACTGTCATGGGAGCAAGAGTCAGAGAAGAGCTGGAGCCCCTGCACTTTGCTTACCTTTAGCTGATAGAAGTCATCTGTCCCATCCTTCCTTGCCAAACACTGAACAATACTTGGCACAGGGGAGTTACCTAAACGTGGACCTAACAGCACAAAGCAAAAACAGACTTGTTTTCCTCAAGCAGCAATGACTAATTCAGGGTTACATCAGTATCCAAGTGTCACACAGTTTACGTTAGCTTAAATCAAGCTCCTTTTTCTCAGGACACCAAGAGTCCTTCTGCAAACCATGATCTCAAGACAACAATGAAACCACTGTGGACAGTGTTTTAAGTTGTCAACTGCAGAACCATTAAGCAAAGAAGAAAAGTCACACATAGCACAGCTCTGCTGTGGAATTCCCATTTCTGCATGCCTGAACCATACAACTTTTACATCATACACCAACAACACCCCTGGCAACTGCTGCTACCACTCCTCCCAACCCAACCACCAGCTCTGCAGGGGCTCTCAGGCACATGCATCACTCCACGCTGCAAGTTAAAATGAACAGAGGACACTGTGTCAAGCCAGCTAGCTGATTGCTGCTGGTTTCCAGCTGAAAATCCATCATTTTTTAGCACTTTGTGCAACTAGTTCCAAACCAGCAACTGCTCTAGCAGCTCTCAAAGCCAGCAGAGCAGCCTTGCCCAGGCATACATCCCCTGTAACAGTCACTGTGTTCTTGAGCAGCCTGATAGCACGTTTCAGGCAAACTGGGTTAAACCCATCCCCAGAGCTCTGACCAAAAAGCTTCCTGAAGTTGCTTTTAAACAAACTTTAAGAACGTAGTTTAATAAAGCAAAGAAAATAAAAATTAGGAGCAAGGGTTCAAGTTTATCTTCAAAGACAGGCGTGCCTTGCTGTGCTGGTGCCACTCGTGTCCCTGCCTGACTGGCTACAGAAGCCCCACGACTGCTGCCCTGTGATGCCAAGGGAGCTGCCCAGCTGTGAGGCACCAAGTTACAGCTCTGCTTTGCCTTCTGCTTTCAGTTTTGCCATCAGCAGCAATCAGCTGAAAACGAAAGATGAAGAAAACCCCCTCTGCTTACCCAGTATGAAAGGGCCTGCTCTCTTGGCATTATTTCCAGAGATCCCTGTACAAAGAGCTTTTGCCTTAGTGGATGTTTCCCCAGCTCCTCTGTCTGATGCTCGCCGCTTCATCCTTGGCTCTTGGAAGAGAGAAAAGATCACAGTTTGATGAGCGACTGAGTTCATTTCCTTCTGCTATCCCTTATTTCACATGGCAAGGCTTTTGCTTACTGATGTGCTGCCCTGCCTACTCATCCTTCTGCAAAAGAAACAAACAAAACAAACCAAAAAAAAACCCAGCAACCAACCAACACGGCTCATTTACTGATAGGGCTGGAGGCTGGACGCACGCTGAAGGTACAAATCAGCTCTGTTATTCAAAGCAACTTCTCCTAGAACAGAGGTTTGAGAGACGTAGTGGGAACAAGTGAAAACAACGAGAGCTTGCTTGACAGCAAAACCCAGGTCTGTCAATTCACACATTCCAAACCAATGCTGCAGTTCCCCTTCGCATGGGTGCCTCCTTCTGATTCAACCCAGGGAGTTCTGTGCATTCATTCTCAGAGAGGTGGGGGGAGAGGAGGAACTGAGCCCAGATTCATTTCCTTCCCCTGAGCCAAGTCCCAGCCAAGCCCTGCTGAGCTCCCTACAAGCTCACTGCCGACCAAATATTTTGCCTTGCACTTGGTTAAAAAAAGTCCCTGAGTTTCACCAAGGAAGAGAGTGACAAATCACCACGCTGAGGGAAGCTGAGGGAAGCCGGGCCGTTCACCCTCCGGCAGCTCCACCCTTTGTGTGCACACAGCAGTGATCTCATCACATCAATTAGGGAGCAGCATCTGTCACCAAGGTCAGAGATAGCAGCGAAGATAAGGTGAGAAATCCTCCAGCGGATTTACAGCCCCGCGCCGTCGGGTTCCACCACGAGTTTGGATCTTTGAGCGAGAAATCTCCTCCCTGCTCCCCATCACCCCCAGCCCGGTGCTCCCCACAGCCCTGTGAGAATTTCAAGCTACAGCAGGGCAGATTCAGGCTGGACATGAGGAAGAATTACTTTCCAGAAAGGGTGGTCAGGCACTGCAATGGAGGCCCAGGGAGGTGGTGGAGTCACCGAGCCTGGGGGCGTTCAAGGAGAGACTGGATGCGGTGCTGAGGGACGTGGTTCAGTGGGAGCTGTTGGTAACAGGTGAACGGTTGGACTGGATGAGCTTTGAGGTCTTTTCCAACCTTGGTGATTCTATGATTCTATGATCCTCTGCTCTCTGCTGGCAACGTGTGAGTAAGATTTCCACTGGAGAAACCCCACTGCACAGAAACTCTGAGATAAGGAGTGTTGTGCAACGGGAGCCGGGTAGGAAGCTCTGGTGCAAACAGCGTTAGGGTAAACAAAATAATTGGAGGACTCACGTCGTTCAGCATCAACTGTGTCTTCACTCTTCTCCCAAACTAGGTTTTCCAGCGTCTCAGCAGACAGGAGTCCTCACCTCGGAGAAGCCTGGCTGGTTGGAAGGTCGAGGGCTCTGCAACATGGAATGAGATGCACCTGATGCTGGGGGCACAGCTGTGCTCCTGTATTGCCCTCCCTGCCTGCAGGAGGGACAGAGCTGCTGTGACAGAGCCTTCATTGCTGGGAGGAATTACTAAACCACCACAGGAGCTGATTCTAAAAGTTTGGACTTGAACAGAATAACGTTGGGAAAAGGCTGAGAATGATGCACTGAGTTTTACAAATCCTCACTGCAAGTGGATTCCTCTTCACAACCAATGGTCAGCACTACCTACCAGCTCACACCATCCCAAAAGAGTAAATTTAGGACTGAAATCTGATGCTCCAGAACCAGGCCTACACCATCTACACCCCCCAGGCACACCAGCCCACAGAACCCAAAGGGCTCCGGGGGTCCCAGAAGGCACAGAGCACACAGAGTGCTTTCAGTGAAGGTCACAGGGCAAAGGAAGAGCACTGGGACAGCTGCTGTGAGAGAGCAGAGCTGTTCCCTTTCCTGCACGTTGTGTAATCCTGATTAGAGCAGGGAAACTGGTCAAAGGGCCACGGCTTCATTGTGCAAGATCCCGCTGTGCTGCAGCAGGCTGGTGTGGGGCTGGAAGGAGTGCTCTGAGCCAGGGTGGAAGGCACTGGATGCAGAAGCCACAAATGCAGAGCAGGAGGTTCCCAGCTGCTGCTTTCTGCCCACAAATCCATCTCATCCTGAGCTGCACTGATACGAAGCTCTCACTCCAAGGGGCTCCCCTGCCTGAAACACGTGCTACACAAAGCTGGTGCTGCACAGACACAAACTGCATCCTGCAAGAAGCAGCTCCACACAAGTCCAGGCTCAGGATTGCTCCAGGCTGTGAGTGGAGACACCTCAGGGCAGGAGCAGCACGCTGGGACCCAGCTGCCCATTGCCCCACAGCTCCAAGCACAGCAAGGGATCCCAGCACGCTGAATTCCCCCTCAGACACGATGGGCACGGAGCAAACAGGCAGCACCAACCCTGCTGCAACGGAGCGATCCCAACACAGAGCTGTGCTGCATGGAGGAGCAGCTCTGTGCCCACGGCAGCCTCACACTGCTGGGCTTTCCCAGCTCTTAGCACTGCAAAAAACAAAACAAACCCAACCCATTTCAACCCCAGCAAAATCCATCTCAGCACAGCATATCCAAAAGTCCACCAAAGAGCCAGAAGGAGATCCCTCCCAGCAGCACCATGGATGCTCACACGGTGGTTCCCCACTCCCCCCCAGTGCAGGAACTGCTCACAGCCCCGCTCCACCACCTGTGACACCAGCAGGCTCAGACAGGAACACAGGAATTCATCTCTGACTTCTGGTGCAGTGCATGCATCAAAACCTTACTGGGGAAGTGCATTTAGAGCTTCCTACCGCATCGTGACTTCGATAGAACTGTTAATCAAATGAATTTTAGAGGTCCAGACCTAATGTCTTTTCATTAGGTAGCTTAAGGAAATTGTCTAATTCCTGAACTGCCACGCAATGTTCCAGCGCCCAGCACAGCAACAAAGGAAAGCAAGTGGAGGAGGGCTGCCCTGTGCATCTCAGGGCAAGGAACAAGCAGGTCCTGCAGTCCTCTGTTAATAGCAGGAGCTGAAAAAATAGTACCTTTGGGGTGTGAACAGGATTACTCAGCACCGCAGAAACTAGTTAAGGAACTGCAACAGCTGACACAACCTCAGCCGTGCTTTCTGCTGCTTTATCTCACAGGGGCACAAAGTGGGTTTGTCTGTGCTTACAATTTCTGGGGTGATGAGGGAATGCCAAAGGCCGTGGAGCAGTGCTACCGAGGAGCTGATCTCTGCAAGGAAGGAAATGGGGTGACAGAGGGGAGACAGGACAGAGCTGGGGCAGTGGCAGATAACAGAGCCCAGCAGCGTCTGTTGGACAGCTTTGGGTTTTTTGGGAGCCTAACACTGCAACATTTGGTACAGAGCCGGAAAGAACACCAAAAAGCTATGGAAGTTTAGCAGTTCTGCAATAGGAATACAAAGAATTAAAGAAAAAAATCCTCTGGATGACTCAGAGCCAGCAGTACAACCAAACCGTGTTCTGTGCCGTGAGCCCTTCCGGGAAGAGCCGCCTTCTCCAGAGCACACAGCAGCCCTGAGTCACTGATTTCTTGGAAATCCAGAGCCCAGCGAGCTCCTTCCCCCTGCACCAAGTGAGCTCCGGGGGAGGCACAGAGCTGGACTCACTGCACCCCAACCACAGCACTCAGAGCCCCGGGCGCAGGCAGTGCTGGGGACGCACCACCACCCTGCAGTGCCACTTCCATGGGCAGAACCGCACAGGGAGAGGAAATCCCTTCCCAGCCCCAGCAGGGAGTTCCAAAGCGCAGGATTCCAGCGCCGTGACCACGAGCTGGCAGCAGGCTGGGCTGCTCCAAACCCTTCTGATGCATCAACACGAGGGCTCGCCAAGGACTCACGGCTGGGAGTTCCCTGCTGGGTTACACAAACACCGATTCCAGCTTCATCCCTTCACCCAGCAGCACGGCCACGTCCCTGTGCAGCCCCACGTCCTGGGTGCAGGGGGGAGAGGCGTGTTGCTCTGGGGATTATTTTCGTTTACAGCTGACGTTGCTAGGTGCACAGCCATCCATCAGCACAGCAGGACTTTCCTCACACACACACACACACCAGCGTGTGACTCACACGTGCTGACACTTTTACAGCAAGGTGTGGCTGCTGCTAACAATGCCCCACTCACCAGCCCCAACGAGATAGGGAGAAACACAGACGTCACCCACACGGGTGAATCTTACCACCACGTGAACGTTACTATTGCTTGCAGCGTGAAAGTACATTGATGGATGGTGTAAGTCAAAAAAAAGAGGAAAAAAAAGCACGCTGGTAACCAAACAGGGCTATTTCATATTGAAAGTGACAGCAGCCGGAGAGCAGCCAGGCACGATCCCAATCCGAATGAGAGCAGTGCAGGAATGCAGAGCAGCGCTGAGCCTCTAAATTCAGCGCTCAGCTCCGCAGGCTGAGCACAGCTCGGGCAGAACCTGCAGGGCTGTCCTTCAATGGCTGCATTAAGTGCCTACAGGGCACCTTCGGGAGGCTTCAGGAGGAGACGATTCTGTAATGCCCCGGGGATTAGAAGAAGCCCCTCCTGGAAGCAGTAATGAGCTCTGAGGTCTTTTCCAACCTTAACGATTCTGCTATCTGGCTTTCGCACACCGCCTGCCGCTGCTGCGCGGAGCTTTCACAGGGACCGACAGCTCAGCCTGGGGACGGGCAGCGCTAAGGGACACTGCGCTGCAAGAGTTACTGGAAAACGGTCGAGAAAAGGTTTCGATAGCAAGAAAAAGTCACCGCAGCACTGAGCGAAACCACGGCGCGGGGCTCAGGCGGCTCTGAGACCCCCGGGCCGCCCTCCAAGCGGAGCCGCACGGCGGCACGGAGCTGCGGAACGGCCGTGCGGAGCTGCGACGAGCCCCTATGGAGCCGATCGCACCGCCGGCCCCACCCGCACCGGCAGACCAAGACCCAGACCCGGGGCTGTGACCCCCGCCCCACGCTTCTCCTCCGGCCTCGCAGCGGAGCCGCCGTGCCCACGCGCCGTTCCCGGTCCCTGCCCCAACAATACCGCCGGGCCGCTCATCCCCCTCACGCAGCCGCCGCGCGACCCCGCGCCCGCCCCACCACTCACCCATGGCCCCGGGGCCGGCGCGGCCGCTCCCCGCAGCCCCGCGCGGCCTCCGCTCCGCTCCGCGGCGGCCACCTGACAGCGGAAGTGACGCACGGCCCGGCCCGGCCCCGCCCCAACCGCGTCGCTCCGCCTCCTGGCTGCCGGACCGCCTCCACGCAGGAACGGCGGCGCTGATTGGGCAGCGGGACAGAAGCCGGCCGTGATTGGCAGCGACGAAGGCCTCATGGGAAGCGAGTCTTGATTGGCTGTTGCGCGGAGGCGAGAAATGGAGATTGATTGGCCGATGCTCAATGACTCTCTCCGCTGATTGGCGCCTGCTCTGCCGGCGGATTGGTGGGCAGGTGGGAATTTACGGAGCGCTGCCATTGGAAGAAAGAAGTGTGCGTTCACCGCAAGCTCTGCCCCGCCCACCCGTACATGCGCACTGCCCCACCGCTATGGCAACCGCGGACGGCCGAATCGCTCCTTGCGTGGTCCTCTGGCCAGAACCGGTGCGAGGGCAGCCGGGAGGCTCGGCTCCACGATGCCTGCAGGGCCAGCAGCCCTGCGAATGGGGATGAAGAACAGGAACAGGGCTGGGTGGCAGCTCTGAGCAAAGCACCTCTTTTCCCCTGGCCCCACTGCCTGCCCACAGCCCAGGTTTACCCCTGCACTGCCCTCTCCCCCCCCAGGATCAGGCCCGCGGCTCCCTGCAGCAGCCGGGTCCCAGGGACAGGGGGGCACAGTCCTGCAGAAGAGGCTACAGCCAAGGATCACTGCAGAGCCAGGCATTGTGGCCAAAAGGGCTTTGTTTGAAAGCTGAAAAACCGTAAGAAGAGGGATAGAAGAGTAGCTGCCAGTTGCACAGGGATGGAGCCGAAGATCACCGACCCTTTGAAGTTGGGTTGTTCATTAAAGAAAAACTCGGGTGTCCCACCAAGGAGGCAGCGGGGCTCATTTGTGCTTGGCACGAGGGAACTCCCTCCTGCCCTTGTCGCGGCCCCCGAAGTAGCGCACGCGGTGGATGGCCTGCAGCTGCCGCTCGATGGTGGCCCTGATGTCCACCTGGTCGGGGATGTGCACGTAGCGCACGTTCCTGCCGGCCACGAAGATCTCGTCCAGCTGTGACACCACGCCTCGCCTGTCTGTGAAGGTCACCTGGGCCAGGCGCATGTTCATGAAGGCGTCCACGTTGGCCACCCGTCCCGTGGCCGTGCTCTCATCACGGAGATCCACGGTGGTGACGTGGCCGTGCAGGCCCTGCAGCAGGATGACCAGGCTGTTCTCGGCGATGGTGCGCTCCTTGACTGAATGGCTGACCTCCATGGTGCGGCTGTGGCAGATGAACGGAGGGAGATGCTACGCTGTGCCCCACCAGCACCTCGACCTCCAGGACTGGGCACCAGCACGTGCTTCAGTGCAGCTGTGGAAGCATGGCACGCTCGGGTACGTACACACCTGGCAGTTCCACCAGCCCTCTACACACGGGGGCACGCGCTGCCTCCTCCCCGTGCACACGGAGTGCTCATTACCTCCCTCCCTTCGCTTACCGCGGTGCTCGCTGCTCCCTTCCCTCGCATAACCACCTGCGCGCTGCCCTCGCATCCCCCATCCCGCCTTCTGCACTCCCACCCCGCACACTCAGTTCTCCCATCCAAGCCGCACGCATCCCCTCACCCGCAGGGTTTGCAGCCCCCTCCCTCCGCACATCCCGATCCCCCCCAGCCCAGCTCACCGCCCGGTCCGGCAGCAGGAAGGGGCGGCCTCGCGCGCTGCCCCGCTCCGTCCCGCCCCGTTCGGCCCCGCCCCGCCCGGCGGCTCGGAGGCAGGCTGGGAGGAACGCCTTTAATGGCTCACAGCCCGTCCATCAGCGCCAGCAGGTCCTCGCCCTTCCCGCAGCTCTCCGCGCACGGCTCCGCCACCTCCAGGTCTCCCAGGATTCGCTCCAGCTCCGCTCGCCGCGCCGGCTCCTGCGCAGAGATACGGGCTCAGACCGGCGACGTGTAAAGCTCTTAAGGCGGCGGAGGAGGAGCGCTTAGACTCCAAGTGAATTCACGTACCTCGGTGGCTTCGATGTTCACAACCTTGTAGGATAACTCCTCGGGTCTCGTCAGCGCCGCCTGCCTTGATTGAAAGTATGAAGAGCGCTTTACGTGATGTCATCCTGTCACATCCCACCCATCCCACAGAAGGTCAGCAGCGTTTGTCACCGGTCCGTCCTGAGGATCCTACAGATGAGCGATCTAGACAGCATTCCTGTTTCTACCAGGCAAACTAGGATGCGGATCCCATTTTGGACATTTATCCCTGCTTTGGGCTTTCTAAACGTGGAGCAGTGGAAACACCGCCCTGCCGGGAGGGGGCTGCAGCGCTCCAGCCTAAACGCCTCCTCACCTCCCCTCAGCTTCTCTCTAAACAGGAAAGCTAAGGGGGCTGAAGGCATCTAACGCCTGATCTGTGGCTGGACCTCAGCCCAGACTGAGCCGGTGACCAGCAGTGTCACCTGAAGGCAGTACGAGACCCTGCATCACTGAAAAACCAGGAACACAAATCCCCTTCTTTGCTGAGTCTTTAAAAAAAGTCAGATAAACTGCTCCTCTTTTGTTCCTGCAGGGAATATCAGGACATGGATAAGAAAATACTAAAAAGGCTGCTAATCTGTCCCTAAAAAATCTGTCCCTGTTAAGGATCAGCTTCAGCCTCCAGGCCTTGTCCACATGTCACTACATCTCAAACCCCAGACCAGAACCAGCTCGAGCATACTCTTCCTCTTCATCTGTCATGAATAAATTCAGTCGAAATCCCGTCTCGCTGCCACCAGGTTTCTTGATCTCCAGACCTCCCAGCAGCCTGGCTAAGAAGTTCAGTTCTTCTTTAGCAAGAGGATTTGGGGCTACATTCTCCTGCAGAAAACAGCAATAGGTTCGTTGGTTGGATTACTAGGAAAAAGAGGGCTAGCAAGGTTACCATAATCTAAAATTACATCAGTATGCAGAAACACATTTATGTATTGTTAGTGGCACAGGCAACTCATCATTATCAGTTATATATTCATAAAGTGGTTGCTTGCATTTCTAGACCCAGGACCAGACAGTTTTTCAGCTAAATCAAGGAGCTGTGAAATCAGCAAACCTAGCTTCCCGATTTCTGAAGAAATGAAAAAGAGGAAGCAAGATTTCTGCAGACCACTTCATCAGCTTATGTCTACAATTAGTTAGGAAAACATGCCCATAGCCTCACTCAGACAGCAGTGAGAACTGAGGCTCACAGAGAACTGACGAGGTTTGGAGAGAAACAAATAGGCAGGTACCCCAGAGTACAGACCAAAATGATGCCACTGTTACATGAGAGCAGAAATGAAGCAGAAGACAGAGCAGCTATCTAGTGAATGAGCTGGAGGAGGGCAGTGTGTGCTTGATCAGTGACCACAGCTCTCAAGGGATGGAGGAAACAGAATGTGAAGTCTGATGGGTGTGGTGAAACCCCTCTGCCCTGTGTGACCACCTGCAGACCTTGCTGACACACCTTGCTGCCAGGGTCATGAGTTTTACCAGTGACAGCATCAGAAAAGCATTAACCTTTGCACTGGAAGCCAAGGTTTTGGATGATCCTGACGTGTGTGTCTCTGCTGGCCGACTAACGCTGTACCTGGAGAGAAGAGCACACCAGGAAAACCAACCTGTTATTTATTTGTGATACAGAAATTGCAGGGAGCAGCACAGCACCTAAAAATGACTTCAGGATATTTTTTCTGAGGATTGTAAGCTGCTGAGAGGTTACAGTTCTGTTTTACAGGGTATTGTGGCATTAAAACATGTCAGCAACAAAGCAAGAACATAACTGACTCATTCTGGAAAAGGAAGAATTACCTATGACAAATGTGAAGAAAAAAACAGTAATTCCTTGAATGCAATTAAACTGAATTTCCATTTCACAGAACTCGCAGTGCACAGTGAGCACTATTTTCAGTCATGAATCAAACTGTGGCTCCTTCTCACAGCTGTTTATGCACACTTAGCTGGGTGTTGTGTTTTACACAATGGCTTTGTGAAGTAGCCAAGCTAGCTGATAATGCCAGAGATGCAAGAAATAAATACACGAGGCTGAAGACACGCTTCTGAACAAACCCATCATCAGTGTTCACTCTGTATTTCTATGTAGGACAAAAATGACTTACATGTTTGTTCCAAGTTTGAGGACTCTGTCTCCATAAAGCTCAAAAGATCCTTCCCTTTGTGGAGTGACATAATTTCCACCAGTGGTGAACTCGCTTCTTTTAACTTCATCTCCATTGCAATTAAACATCCTTAAAAACAACCCAACATTGAAACAAATTCAACAGATCTGTTCCTGATTTTCAGCACTGTACCCTTTGCTTACTGTACAAAAAAAAGAAAAGGGAATAAAACCCTATTCTGTACACTGGTAAACACCTGTTTTAAAGGAGAAAGGACTAATAGCTAATTTACTGGAATAGGGAATGGCAGACACACAGTTAGCATCTCACTGCTGGGTCGCTTAGTGCCAGACTTGCTTTATCAATAGCTCACTGGAGTTCAGCTATCCTTGCAACAGCAGAGACACTCTAAGCTTCTGGCACTAAGTGCTCCTTGCTGAGCAGCCACACATGCAAGGCACTGCAAACAGTATTCACCTGATGACTCCTGGTACTTCTGTACCCCAAGGAACAGGGCCTGATATTGGCAGCACAAAGCGACCATTCGAGTTCTGCACTTTATCCTTCAGAAAGATGGAGACCTGCAAAAGAACATTCCATCCTCTAGAGACTCAGTTACATGTCTTCTGTTCCGAGTTCTCTGAAGTCTTCCTGCCTAGACTGGGATTGGTTTCCTAGAGATTCTGATGTGCCTGGGCTGAAGCCAGCAGTGTATTACTGTAGTGCAGAGGACAGGCACATTTGATCCAGTATGAAAAGAAAAGTGTGCCCTTCATGCATCTGAGTATGAGCAATTAATTTACAGAGCATCAAGGCCCATGGCCTGAAGTTTGAGGTCCTTATTTCCATATCAAGTGTCTACAAAAAAACATGTACTAATGAAAACCTGAATCAGAAATTATTCTACACAGTCACCTGTGAAATAAACAGGTAATTAGGAGTGGGGGTTTTTTTCCCCCAGGACATGTTAGAATTATTCAGTATTATTGTACTAAATGTGCTCAGCATGTGAAATCATGAAGACTGAAGTTACAAGCACATCGAGATGACCGAAAACCTTAAGCACCAAAACCAAATGCAGTGTGATTATAATGAGACACATCCATATTCTAACCAACCAGTTACACTGGGCTCTTACCCTTATGTGCATGTCCTGAAAAAAAATGAGGAGCGTTTGCCTGATGAGCTGAAATTCACCAGCAGAGAGACAGCTGTACACCTGGAAGAGAAACAGCCCGAGGTGAGGCGTTGTGAGGGAGCCATGCTGCTGAATCATGCTTGGTACGTGCAGCTCAAGCTCTTGAGTACATGGATCAAGCTCCACTCTCAGTGGGGCACTGCCTGATGCAGCAGTTAGTCTCTAAGACCAACCTGGAAGAGGAAAATCCGTGTGTTCCACCATCCTGCTAAGGGTTCTCACCTCAATCAGCTGTCGGAAAGTTTCATCCACTTGGTTCAGAATGCCAGGGGCATCACAGATGAAATCTTTGATGGCATCCAGGTGATTGAACGTGACCAGCAGGATGTCTTTGGGCCGGGGACACAGCAGGACTTGGTACTTGAAAGCCATAGTCATGAGATCATACAGCTGCAAAGCAACACGGGAGGTTTTGGTTCCATTGCAACACACACAGCAACGATTCCATGCTCATGAAGAAAGGGTTCTGAACATTCTTTTCTTTTAACACCTGCTTAAGGGTAAGGAAAGCATTTTAGCTTTGTTTCCCAAGGAAATGACACCTCTACAGTGACACTGCTGTTGCTCCCTGGGTCTCTCCAGCAGTCTTTAGCACTGCTGGCAGTTTCAACACTAGTGACCCAGGGTACAGCTCTGACAGGTAAGCGAGCTCCTGTGACTTCTTTCTTTTACCACCAGATATGCTGTTTGCAGGCAAGAGTTCTTCTGCCTATCATTGAAAATAGTGAGTGTCAGCACAGAAATGTATATATATTTACATATACATATAGACTTTTTGTATATTAAAAATCTGATGAAGATTGCTTACTGAACCTCTTAAAATCACTTGCATGTGAAACTCAGTATTTCCACTTAAGGTGCTGAATTATCTGGAACTACTACAGATTTTCTCACCATTTTCTCATCTCAGAGCCATTTTTACAAAGAAATGCAGTGGGAAGAGGTTTGTTACAAAGTGCTTCCAAGTACAGTGACCTGCAAACAGCACAGTGAGCACTGCACAGATCCCAGTTTTACCTTATCCATGCTGGCCTGGTTCAGTCTCATGATTGAAGCATGAGCTAGCCGGTCATACACGGTTCTCAGAGCTTTCTTGGAATAGAGTTCCTGTGGTTTAAACAGCTCTTCCATAAATTTTTTATTGAACATGGTTGTGATGATGTCATTCATAACTGCAAAGACAGAGAGTATCTGTTTCTGCTCCAGAAGCACAGCACTCACCTCATCCTTCCACACAAACCCGATGCTGAAGGCTCCCAGGACGCTTTGGAGACGTGGTGCAGAGCAGCAGCAGGACGGGGAGCACCGTGCCTTAATGCAGGCACTTCTCTCAGTGCCATGTTGTTCTGAGCAAGCAGCAGGATTTCTGCAGACTGTCCCCTGAGGCAGAGATGTTTCTAAGCTGCAGACAACAAACCTTGTTTTGCCAGTGGGAATAAGGCTGAGTTTGTTGTCTTGTTTTTACAGCAACGGCTAGCTCTTTCCTCTTTTAAAATAATTGTGTTTACAGGCTTTGCTGGCATGTATTATCTGGAAAAGCTACAGTTCTGCTTCCTAAGACGACTGTTTTGCATCAGTCTGGGCTTTTTTACACGTATTTTTCACAAACCATAGCTACCTCTCTGTCCCTGTTCCCCTTTTTTGCCCTTAACGCCGTCAGTTTTCCTCTTCTACACAGAAGCCCTGGGATGATTCCAAATGCCCTGAACCAGACAGCTACCAACAGGCGTGCAGGGTGCATTCGCAGCGCTGTGATCGGAGCAGGGCCGGCCGGGAGCTGAGAACAGCACAGTTCAACAGCTGGCACCTCTGCACTTCCTTCCTAGGGCTTCGCTCTGAAGGATGAATTTGGAGGTGGTTACAGGACTTACTGAAGACTCGGAGAGGATCAGGAGCACCCAGTGTGAGGTCTGTGCTCTGCTTCTCAAGCTTTCAGCGCAAAGGAGATAGAGAGCTTTTTTGCAGTGATTCAAGCAGACACAGCAGCCCAGCTTTCCTGCTGGATCCCACGCCTTTGTCACAAATCTGATACATTCTATGGCATCACCATAAACAAGCATTTATTTCTCTATCAAAAAACACTGAAAAAAAAATCAATTTCAATTCACAGAGATTATTGTACAAGCGTGAATTTCCCTAAGCAGATCACTGCTACTGAAGCTTGTAATGATAGCTAATTCTTATGGATTAGGGACATCTCGGGGGAAGCAACAATGAAAAAGCAAAGCAAAGTTAATGTACCACTCACTTCATCTTTTCTTAGATGATTATTACCTCGGGAACACTGCTAGGTCTGTCAGAGATACTGAGCACCTGGACGCTGACAGCTGTTTCTAGAGGGCGAGTGCCTTCTGAAGTGTGGATTAAAAACAAGCCTCATTACCAATGGAAAATAATTCCCTTCTCCTCCACAGATAAATTGGCCACAAAACCACCTCTGCGTGCAGCGTGATGCAAAAATCCTCCCTTCTTCCAGTGGAGAAAAGCAAATACAATGTATTATTATGCATTCAGTTCTGCATGTAGTCAATTAGGACAAAAATAAGAACTTCTGCCTTAGGCTGCAATCAGGAAGAGTTTTTGGTGAAGTTTCCCACACGTGTTGTCTGCACAAAGACTTCTCCATCTTAGGAGGGTCGCTGATAACCAGCGCTGTCAGGAGACAAAACATCTCACAGCGTGCCACTGCAGCTGGAAGATGCTTGGAATGGAATCAGAACTGTGTTAAGCACAGGAGAAGCCTTCAGGATTATCTTCTGAAATTAAAATCTCTTGTATTGGCTACGAAAATCACTGAGAAAGACATCAAATATCAGAGCGAAGGGCAAACCTCACGAGGTGCACTGGATAATGGCAGAGACCTCGGAGCATAGGCAGTCCCTAAGGACGTGCTTACACCGTTCTAACAATGGAAAAGAAATAAAGGAGTGTAGCTCAGGGGGAACGGCACGCCAAGCAACACAGCAGAGAAGCAATTTAGCAGAGGGGGATTTCATCAACCGGGATGGGGAGAGGGAAACCGGGTACAGGCAGTGCGATGGACGGAAGAGAAGCCGAGGCTCGGAGCGGTTTCTGTCGTGTCGCTGCACACTGACACATCTCAGCCTCCTGGGCCGTCACGGGACGCGGCTCGTATGCATGACATGAGAGTGCAGTCTGCACATCTGGATTGTGCTCATGCTTCTCCAAGGACACTCAAGACAGTGAAGGGAATGGTACGAATCCGAGGCGGTCACACATCTGTTTGCAGGGCTCTGTAGCTCCTAACAAAGCTGACACAGGCAGTGCCTCGCTGCTGCCTTCACCTGCAGCCATGGGCTCTGCTGCCTGCTCTGCGTCCATGTTTCAGAGATCATCCCGAGAGCAGGACTCACAGGCTGGGCTTTTTTTCTCTCACAGGAAACACTGAATCGGCAACAAGAGATCAGTTTTTGTGCCTGTACCATCCGAATCTGATAAGGCAGGATTTTATAAAACTTATCTCTGTTTTGGATGTGATACAAGAGGGGAACACGGCATCTTTTACACCTCTGAGATATTAAATGCTGGAAAAGCACGTTCTTACAAACAGCATGCAATGGGAGTGAAGAAGTGGGGGATAAATCCAAGGTATTCCTGTTTACCTTCAGTAAATGTTCAAAACCCAGTAAGGACTTACTTTGAAAAAAACAAAAAGCAAATCATAAGGCTGATGTCTCTTAAAAGGGGGCTGCTTAAAGACACTGGCAGTTCACCTGACAGAATAAAAATGGGATCATTTAAGAGATTTACTTTCTCATCCAGCTGCTTACTGCACCCTGACCCCCACCATTTGCAGGCAGAGCCTAGAAGGAAATCACAAAAACCTGCAAAACCTGAGCTCAGACCATCTCCAGTGATCACTCAAGTCAACATGGGGCTGGCTGAAGCGCGGATAAATGCTCCTTTGTGGTCACTGCTGCAGGGATGGTGACCACTGGCAGGGATGGGTAAGCAGCTGGATGGAAGGGCCTCAGATCTCTCCTGAGTTCACTCTTCAAAACCCTAAGCAGTGAATTAGAAATATCTCAGAGAAATGCAGCATGCAGGTGGCATTCTTGCCAGTAAGCAGAAAAACCTCACAATGCTGACACAATTATTTGCATCCTTGACACGATGTTAGAAAAACTAACACTAGGATTACAGGTTATGATCTCTCTACAGACATCACCTTCATTAAATTGACAAATTGCCTTCTTTTTGTTTTTTAAGTGACACGATTTGGAAATATTCCCTAAATATTTATAGCTAAAGCATCTTTTAAAGAATATCACTCCTCCCTGACACCATCACTGGAGGGCTGCAGAACAGCATACAGTGTGTTCACATACAACGAGCCTCACGTGTGCATGTAGTGGTGTTATCAACTGCATGCAGCCAGATTACAGTACCTCGTTTCCTGTCCACATCTGTCCATTCATCTACACGAAGCATACAAAACAAAAACATCAGTTCAAGAAGTAAGAATGGGAGTTTCAAGGAGGAGAAAAGAAATAAAGAGAAAAAAATATATATCTAACTAATGGTGTTTTTTTTCTCATCAGCGTTCTGTGTTTAGCAAGAAAAAACCCTGCTGTTACCTGATGCCCTTCTGCTATTTGGCATCTTTCAGTTTCAAGGACCACATAAAAGATGAAACCCTGTTCTTCCCCTGGAAAATCCTGGTGCTTCAACACAGCGAAAATTTCACCCTTGACTGAAATTCAGTGGTTTTTTTTTTTTTTGGTCTTTTTTTGGCACTTATTAGTGAACAGTATTTCAGTGAACAGCTTTAAGCAGTAAGAAATGCCTCAGTGAAGATGACATCTCAGTAAAATAGTAGAACTCAAGCTTTCTGCTTTTAAAATACAAAAAGACATGCAGACCTCGTTCAGATACTCACTATACACAGCTAAGTTTAGTCAGAGCTACAAACTGAAGGCTACACAACCAGCAGCAGGGAGGGGGAAGTGCCAGCTCCTCTTCTGAGCACAGCCAGCTCTATCCCACTGTGCACCCCTCCCAAATTACCTTCACAGAATCACAGAATGGCCCGGGTTGGAAGGGACCTCAAGGATCACAAATCTCCAACCCCCTGTCACATGCAGTGCCACCAACCTCCACATTTAATGCTAGACCCAATTTAATACTAGGTTGCCCAGGGCCCCATCCAACCTGGCCTTGAACACCTCCAGGGATGGACGGGGCATCACAGCCTCTCTGGGCAGCTGTTCCAGCACCTCACCACTCTCATAGCAAAGAACTTCCCCTCTACATCCAACCTCAATCTGCCCTCCCTCAATTCAAACCATTTCCCCTTGTCCTGCTGTTATCTCCCCTTTTAAAGAGTTGATTCCCCTCCTGTCTGTAGGCTCCCTTTAGGTACAGAAAGGCTGCAATGAGGTCACCCCGCAGCCTTCTTTTCTCCAGGCTGAACAAGTCCAGCTCCCTCAGCCTGTATTTGTAGGAGAGGTGCTGCAGTCCCCTGATCATCTTCATGGCTCTCCTCTGGACCCTGTCCAACAACTCTCTGTCTTTCTTGTACTGGGGGCTCCAGACCTGGACACAGTAATGCAGATGGGGGCAACCTTCAGTAACACATTCCAACAGCCACTATTAGAAAAACGTTGTGAAATTTATTTCACTCAGAGGGCTTTATTTTCAGACAGCAGAAACATGTGACCAACTTCTGTGACAGAGCTGCGACACCGTGGGGTTGAAACACATCCCCACGGCTCCTTCTGACGACACGCCGCAATGCTCTACGGCTGAGTGATGTTCTATTGCTCTGCCCTTCCACGGTGATCGTATCTGTGCCCATTCCTGCGTTACTACGGGAGTTATTACCAACAAGCTGAGCACGTGGAAAGGAACAGCAGATCTCTGCTGGTTCGGCAGCAGCCTGACAGGAGCAGCGAGGCAGGGCCGGGCCCGCTGCTGAGTGCTTCCGGAGCCCGTCTGCTTCTCCTCACGGCCCGCTGTTGCTCGGGGGAGGCCGAAGCTCGGCCTCAATGCGCGGCCCCCGGCCCGGCCCGGCCCCCACCCCACAGATCCGACGCGGGCAGCCGGGGCTCGGCGAGGCAGCTCACCTTTTCGGGCCTTCTCGCCTGGGATGCTCTGGGCGCGCAGCCGCTGGTCCAGGATATACAGCATCTCTCCGCCCAGGTTGAGGAACAGCAGCGGCAGCGTTCGCACCGACATGGCGCCCGTAGCTAGCCGCCAGCCGCCGTCACCGGGCAACGGCTCAGCCAATCGGAAGGAGCCGTCTTGGCGCGACCAATCAGGAAGCGCCGTCTTGGCAGGTGGACGTTGTGCTGAGCGCTGCGCCGCTCAGCGGGTGAGGGTGCAATGACTGCCATTGAATGCTTTTAGTGCGGAGCTCCGTGCGGTCGTGGCTGCGGCAAGGAACTGCGATGGGACGCTGCAGGAATTGGCTGTTGGACAGCACTGCCCCCCACCAGCTCAGGCTGCCCAGGACCGCGTCCCACCTGCCCCGGGCACCTGCCAGGGATCGGGCAGCCACAGCTTGTCTGGGCAACCAGTGCTAGAGCCTCACCTCCCTGTCATTTAAAAACATCGCTGCCTTCAGAAAGGCACTGGGAACACCCCAGAACTCCTCTCAGCACAGGAAAAAAACCATTTCAGGACATAATCTGATGAAGCAGTTCAATGCAAAGCTGTAAAACACTTAGCCACTCACTGCACTATTTTGGGTACTCACACGGTGCAGACCATGCATGCACATAAACAAAGAGGCCATGTGCCTTTTGGGAGCTCTTTATTTTTGGAGAGGCTGGCTGTGTCACAGACCCAATGTGCTGCTATACAGGTGTCCCCTCACTTTGTGCCTGCTTCTCCTTTGCAGCTCTGGCTCTCTCTTGCCACTTTCTTCTCTCCTTCAGCCTCTCTTCTGCTTTCAGCTTCCGTGCCTCCTGAAAAACCTGCAGAAAGAAGGTGAGAATATGGGAGAAAGGGAAGGTCAAAGGTGTCTGTTGCCCACCACAGCCATTCCACCACCACTGCTCACTGCAACACAGAGTGGGATCTAAGTTCCTGCAGCAGAGTGTTCAGTGAGATCAGCTCCTTTGTGCCTTCCTAGGGGTCTGCAAATAGCCTGTTATTTAGGGCACCATTCTGAGGTATGGAGCAATAGCTATCCAATCTCTTATAATTTTACTGGATTGAAATTTAGTATTTCTAGACTGAGGGCATTGTTGAGCTTTTTGATTCTGCTGTTACCTCAAGATATTCAGAGTAAACGAGGACAATGGCCATATGCATATTTCTGTTCTAACACTGCCATCATATTTAATAGTTTACCTATTACCTTTGAGGAAAAGCTACACTGAATCATACATTTCTGTGCAAACCAGCAACTCAACTTGAGGTTCTTAAGCATGGTACACCCTCATTATGTGCTTCACCTCCCACTAAGTAACCACCTTTCACAGAGCTCTACAGTCATTATATTATCATTGTCTCCTCAAATCTAAAGCACTGACTTGAAGGCCTTTTATCTATCAGCTTCTGCCAGCTATCTGTTCCAATCGCATCCTCTACAAGATTTTTTCTGCTCCAGCTACCCAGCTTTCCCTCTGGCTCTCTCCATACCTTGACACAGAAAGCCTTCTTAACAACCCAGCGCTTGGTGACCCTCCTGAAGTAGGCAGGCCGTGGTGTGTACTGGATGTTCAGCTGCTTGCAGGTGTTCTCAAAGACGTCGCAGCGGACACGGCGAAGATAGGCCAGCAGTTTGTTCCTGCGATCCATGGCCATCAGCATGCGACGACGGTTATTTTTATCCTGCAAAAGACTTGAGTTCACTGGATCGCAGATAGATTGCTCTTTCATCCCAATAAATTACTTAGAACAGAGCAGATGATGGCTAAAAGGACACAATCAGGTTAAGGACAGTATCCGAGAGCAATTTTTCTTAGCAGGTATTGCAAGAACATTAGGTCACTACAAGAAGGCTCAGGAAGACTTGATTTACTTTGCAGTGAAATTGCTTTCTCCAAGCTTCAGTGTCTTGGAGGCGAGGAATGCAGTGAAGGTCTGCTGGCTAAAAGCTCTGCTTCCCCTCAGGCGTACATTTCCAGAAATAACACAGGCTTTTGCTTTTTTCTTTTTTCTTGTTTTTGCTTTTCCAGGATTTAAAGGCGAAAATAAAATCTTGGCTCTATTTGACAGTTTGATCTGTTCTTTGGAAGAGAATATGCATAGCTCGGTTCACACCACTCAAGGCTCTCTCTCATGGAAGCAATCTCCCTACACTTTACAAGCAATTCATCTAAAAATAGGCTTGATTCAAGTACTTTCAAAAGGTCTTCTCTGCTGAAACGTTTGGTACAACTTCTGTGTTCTTAAAAACTAAATTCTCCTCTGTTTTAGGCTTCAAGCTTTTATGATTAGCTGATAGCTACAAACTTTTTTCAGACACAGCTGATTAATTTGCTCCTTACCTTTTCCATGGCATTAGGAATCTTCAATAGACCTTGTTCATAAAATCACACTCGTGACGTTTTGCGTTTGGGCTTCAAACCCACGTAGTTTTAGATGGGGAAACAGCCATTATGACATTAATGCAGTCCTGTCCATAAATATTTTTACAGTAGAACAGAGGAAGAATATGGCTGAAGCAATCACATTAGTAATGCTGACAGCTAAGCAATGAAACCTGATCAGTAGATTTAGCTGAGCTCTGCTCCAAGGTATCTGCTCAGCCATCTCCAACAACTCAGTAACCAAAAAGAACACATTCCACCTTTCAGTTGGTGCAAATGCAGCTGCAACTGAGCCAGCAGCTTCCCAGACTGACAGCAAGGAGCAGCTACTGTTATCTTACAGACCATCTTAGGAAAGCCATAATCCCCAGCATTAAAATCCTTTTGTCCTTAGCTCAGAAAACAATCTGAACAGCCGCTGCCTCAGACGTGTGGGTTGGGATTACTGGCACTTACCTTGGGATGCCTCTGAAGATGTTCCTCAAAAGTGCGGATCTTGGCAGTCAGTATGGCAGCTGTGAGGACAGATGTGAGAGCTGTGAGAGAGCAGCAGCTTTGCAGAGTGAGACAGCATCATTTGCATTCCTTTCAAAGGACTGCTGCTGCTCTTATGGGTACCCACTGCACAACAGCAAATACTCCCACACAGCCTTCAGAGCAAATGGTAACACAAAATGCAGCCTACATAAACTCAGGTAACAACTATCACCATTATAAAGCTGACTGTTGCAATTCCAACAACTAATCACATGGTTTTCCCTGTAAGGCAGGTGCTTCACCTCATTTGAACACTGGTGATTTTATGTGGCCTTCATCTCTGCCCTGTGCTTCAGACAGAGCTTGCCTATGCAGAAAGAAATCTGGTTGCCATGGCTAAAATCTATCATTTTGTTTCAGTAATATCTTTTACAGGTGCAATGGGGAAAGTGTTGCCAAACTACATTAAGCTTTAGTGCAAGGCTAGGTATTTTATAGGGAAGAGATTAATGAATCCCTTCAAAAAGTATGGAAATTATTATACTCTATCAAGTGAAGAGTTCTGCAGCAACCCTGTCCTGGCTCTTCCCCCATCCGTTATGACTTCAGGAAACAAAGCTGTATATGGGCAGGAAAAAAAATAATCATTTCCAAACTCAGAGAGTGATCTTCCAACTGAAGTTCTGCCATTTGCTTTTCTCTTCATGCCCAGTTCATTCAGCCATAGATGGAATGCTGCAGGTGCAGAAGCCATGGAAACAAAACTGACAGACGTACATCACTGTAAAAGGGCTGCAGCAGCACAGACTATTTCAGAGAAGCCTTACCCTAACGACACAGCAGAGCCATAAAAGACTCCCTTATGAGCAAACACTGACAAAAGGGGCAGTTTCACATCACATTGAGTAATGACATGACAGGACCATAAAGGCTTAAGTGACTTTCCAACACGCCCAGTAAAGACCTTTGTATAGATAAATAAACTGAGGCAAAACGTTCCCGTTGTCAGCAGGCAGCAAGATGTCTTCATGGCACCTTTCAGATGCTTTTGGCACCTCTAACAACGTGCTCCAACTGCTCCCTCTGTGCTGTGTGCATTGCCTGGCAGCATTCCCAAACCCTGTGCAGGCCCACCTGCCTCCCAGGAGCTCTCCTGAAAGAGATTCTCTTGGTTGCTACAGGAAACTTGAAGTGATGGGGTGGGAACAGCTGAATAAAAGCCAAGTGAACTATCATCTGCCAACCATAGGGCTCTGTTTCTTCTAACTTACTTTGCACCTCAAAGGAGCCATTGTCACTGGGAGACCTCCTGACCTTCTCTACCAGCTGCTGTATCTTTATCTTCATTTTCTCCCTCTGTGAATAACAAAAGAACTCGTCACTTTCTGAAGAACGCTGTATGTCCGAGCCATCCCAAATCTTTTCCCAAATGAAGACTTTGTAGCTTTACTCCAAGTCCACCCTAAAAGGTGGAAGAAGTGCTGCAAAAAAAAAAAAAAAAAGGAGCACAGCAGGGACGGAGCACAAAAAGATTTCAGCAGAGAACAGAATCACCCTTGTTCAAAGGAAGAGCCCAGGCACACCCCTCTTCCCAAAGTTGCAAGGGAGAGGTGTTGAAGAGCAAAAGACACAGAGCTAAAGCTGATCTCACACGGCAGTAACCTTCCATTTTTGCACTTTTTTAAGCTTAAGTGGAAAGTGGTAAGAAACAGTGAGATCTCTGTGATGCCTTTCTTGTTTGCTTCCTTGCTTTCTGGGCATATAAAAAATAAAAGTCATTTAAAGAACATCCATGGTCCAGTGTACCACTTCCCGTAAAACAACCCAACCTGCAGCAGAACCACAACAGCTGCATCTCCTCCTGTGATTGTCTGACACTTCATTCTCTTCTTTTAATACTCAATTATTATAAAAGAGAAGAGCCCAGGATAAACTTTAAGAGCCTGCAAGACTTATCACCTTTGTGCATTTAACAGCCCCACAGCTGCAGTTACTGAGCAACACTTAGAAAGTAAATGTAGGGCATTTAACAATGTAGGCAAGTCTTACACAAACGTGTTTGCTACTCCATCTAGTCTTTATACAAGTGCAATAAAACTAACCTGGCTTGCCATTTCCAGTGACAATAATCTTTTCACTACGTCGTCAACACTGCAAGGAGAAGGAATATTAGTCTATCAGCTTAGAATGAAGTATAATAACATAAAGTTGGATTTTCAGAACACATTAGTTTTTCT